AAGATCGAGGATCTCATCACTGGGGGGAGTACAGGTCTTGTGGGTGAGAAGACCACAGTGGTAGAGAAGGTTCTCGTCCTTGAGAAGTTTTTCTGACGCAACGGTCTTGGAGTTCCAAGTATAGACCCGTTGGTCGAAAAGAGGATTTGAAAGAGGGGCCGAAGCCGCCTCTTGAGAAACTTCCTTGACCCAAGGGACGGAAAGCCAAGGAAAAGGAACATCGGGCTGAACAAAGATTAATTTGTCACTCCACTTAGGGAGATTGGAAGGGATATCATTGATAAAGTGAGCGCCATTGCAGCTCTTCAGGTATAGGCCTCGACCTTGCTTGGAAGGGACATAGCAATAATGGAAGAAATCTAGGTCGAATCGACCTAAACGGACACGACAGAGGATAATAAAGGTGGTCATAAAGCGGATGGCATTTGGGGGGAGTTGGTGCAGAGAAAGCCCGAACCATTCGCAAATTTGAAGCAGTTTAGGGCACAGAGGAAAACGGAGGCCAAGTTTGAATTGGATTTCAAAAAAGGTGTAACAGTCTCTTGGAGGATGATTGTATTTATCGGAGGGAGAGGACCTACAGAATGACCAACCGCTAGGATGACCGATCTTTTCGGCAGAATACCAATCGGTGGAAAGAGAAGTAGAAGAAGAGCGTTTTGTGGAAGTTCTGCGGGGGTTTTTGTGGGGAGGAGAGTTTGAGGTACCAGGTTGGGAGGAAGAAGGTGGAATGGTCGAAGATGGAGGAGAAGTGGGTTGAGGAGAAATGACCTCGTCCACCTCTGGTTCGTCTAACTCACCGAAGGCAGGTCGACGATGGCGGAGAGGAATGTTGTCCATAGTATCTCATGAATTGGAAGAAACGACACGGGCATTAAAAACGATGGTTGGGACGGTCTCGCCAGAACGAAGAATCAAAAGAGGAACGACCTCAAGTGCAGAGGGCAAAATCTGAAATGAACCAGATGAAGTGGTCGAAGAGGGAGATGGAGGTGCAGGATCTGAAAAAAGAAAAAAAAAAAACAACAAAAACGAAATCAAAAAAGGAAGGAAACTTTCGAGAAAGGTGAAACTTCAAAGAATTGAGGCTTTACGAGGGGGGTAATTTCGAAAAATTAGAAGAGGAGAACAGGGATTTCAAAAGATTTTCGAAGAAGGAAAGGCGAAATTCACAGGTGATTGACAAGCGAACACCGACACCCAACATACAAATTCAAAATACCCAATCAGCAAGCTTCAAACACCCAATTCAAGAAATTCAAAACGCAAAATCTCAGATACAGAAAACGTAAAATCAGATGAGGAACAACTTACTCATAATCGCAGAAGGATGAACTGGAAAAGCTCAAAGGCTACAGGAGGAATCACCGAGAGATCTAGGGTTTTTTTGCAGAAGAGATTTTGAGCACAGAAGAGTCTAAAATTCGCAAAGGTGGAAAAAATCGGAAAATTTCTCTAAGTGTGGAATTTATACTAGGGAAAATTAAAAGGTGGAAGATGAAGACTGTCGGATTAAATCCTGATCTAACGGTAGAAAGCATTAATTTACACAGTACTCAAAGTGGGCGCGTCATGCGAGGAGACGCTATCATTAAAGTGACTGACAAATGCGGCAGACGCGACACGTGGCAGAAAAGCAGGCGCGGCAGAAAGGACATGTGACAGACGACCTTATCTCTGGCAATTAATGAGGTATTATTTGAAAAATAAGCTGGAAATCCATCAGATGGTCGATATCGGACACCATGCTATCCAGGAGGTCGATAGGCACAAATTCACTCTTAGATCGAGTCAT